CAGGCCAGACTCCAGGGGCACTCCAGGCTCTTTGTCGTGGTGGATTGAATTAAGGGCCTTTAATATTTGATGACATGGAGAGGCCACTTCCTGGCTGATTGGGTTAGGGCCTCAGTGGTCTGGCCCCACCCCCTTCCAGCTACCAAATGTCCGATTCCCTCTTCCCAAAGGCAGCAGCAACCTTCCACCCACCCCGTTCTATACTCAGGCTCCAGCTGCCGGCTGGCTCTGCCACCTCCCCCACCACTCACAGGACTGGATAAGTAAGAAGGATCCAGACCAGAGGTGCCTCTTTTCATTCAGACTTAGACTCACTCCCCTAACTTTCTCTCAATCCCCTTTACCTAAAGAGAAGCCATGGTTAGCAAGCGACTAAGACCCATTCCCCTGCTCCCCGCACTAATCCAGGACTCCCCCCGTCTGCCCCCTCCCCACTAACCTGGTGACCTGGGTGCGGGTGTTGAAGTCCAAGGCACGCATTGACTGCAGAACCTCCACACAGCCCATGTACTGAGGGAGGGATGGAGGGGGACAAGTCAGCCGCCTCCCCCCACCCCTTCACAAGGAGCCGTGTGCCTTTTCCCTACGTGCTCCCTAAAGAAAGAGTAAAGACCAAGTTTTGCGCTGCCTGCGGCTACACCCCACTACGTGCAAGATCAGAGGAAGAAGGAGCAGAGGAAGGGGCAAGCTAGGAGGGCCTCGGGCATCTGGGAGGAGAATGTGGGGGGCAGCGACGGGCACTGGGGGTGGGGGGGCGGGAGAGGGGGTGGAGTGACATCCCCAGAGGGAGGAGGCTGGGGGACACAATCAAGGCCCACTCGTTCCAACACTTACTAAGGGCCTGCAATGTGCTGGGCTTTGTGCTAAGCATGGTGGGGGGAGCGGGGGGGGGGGTGTCACAAGAAGGAAGGGGCCCAGGCAGAGTTGGAAGGGGAGGGGCCGCAGAAGCAGCTTAGGAGCCAGAAAGGTATGAGAAACAGGACCCTGAAACCAAGGGAGGTGCCGGGAAGAGCAGAAAACAAGAGGCTCGGGTAAGGCTGGAGTGAGCAGAGGAACCGGAGGGGTCCGGGAGGGGGGAGGCAGGAGGGAGGAGGGAATACGGGAGGATGGTCACTTACCCGAACCAGGTAGGAAACCCCGGGTCCCATGACTTTGTCGTTGGGATGCAGCCAGCCCCGCGTGGGCTTATTGACAAAGCTCCCGTGGCGGGTCCACTCCTCGCCCCCCAGCTGGCCCCCTTCCACCCGAGTCCTGCGCCCGCCGCCTCCACTCAGCTTGTTCATGTCCTGGAGGAGGGGCAGGGGGCCTGAGTCTGGCATGGCCACCCCTATGATCCCCTCCCCATCCTCAGCTGCCCTTCCTGGCTCCCCCTTTGGCCCCGGGCGCCCCCCAGCTGGGTTGGCCAGCTTCAGGTTGCTCATCCGGGGGAAGAAGGAGCACAGGGTGGTGGGACTATCATCCCCAGGCAGAGGTGGCAGGATGGGCCCCAGGGACGAGGCCGATGGGGAAGGCAGCTCCTCCGGTGGGGTGGACCCCGAAGCCCCCTCCTCCAGCGATGACAGAGACTCATTCCGAAGTGGGTTGTACTTGGGCTTGGGGGGCAGGAGATCCATGGCTGCTGTGAGAGGGAGGCTGCTGCCCAGCCCGGCCCCCCTGCCGGTCAGGGCAAGGGGGCCAGGCAGGGGGCATCCCCAGGCCCTTAGTCTGACCGGGCCTCTATGGCCCAGGATCTCAAGGGTCCTGGGGAGGGTGAGGGACAAGAGGCGCCAGCGCCAGCGCCCCCGGCTCAGACCCAGATGGTTCCAGGCCCCATCCCCGCCCAGCGTGGAGCCTCTTCTCGGGCTGAGAAGAGAACAGGCTGGACCCAGAGCTGCCTGGCTCCTCCCCAGGGGCGGAGAGCTAAGGCCAGAGACCAATCCCGAGGACAGTGCTGACTCACAGGCTGCAAGGGGCTAAGCCCCCACCACAGCCCCAGCCTAGAACTCTGGCAGGGATAGAGCTCTCCATGCCGGCCCCCCCCCCCCGCCCCCAGACAAACCACCAGTAATCTGGGGAGGAGTAAAGTGGGGGTGGGAGGGAAGGATGTAGGAATGAGAAGGAAAGGAGGGAAATAAGAGGAGGTCTGGATCAATCCACACAGGACATGGGCAGGTCAAAGAGAGCAGGAAGCTGCAGGAGGGTAGGGGGAATGAGAAAGGAAACAGAGGGAGCTGGGGGTGGAAAAGGGAGGGGATCCCTGAGCTCAGCACTTTCCTTCCTGTCCTGGTGGAACACTCAAATGCCCCCCTCCTCCAGGCCAGGCCACCCCTATAACACTACCACACAGTCGGGTGGTGGCCCCAGGGAGCCTGGGCCATTAGCACCCTCTGCTACCACAGCTGCGGACAGCAGGTTAAGAAAAGGGGAAAGGATGGAAGTGGTCCCAGTGGACGCAGAGAGGGGCCAAGAGGAAGAGCAAAGCTGGAGAAGTAAAGGGAACGAGGTCCAACCTGGGTGGCACACCAGGCGGGAGCTGGGGCAGAGGACAGGCTGATGGGGCCCTACCACGGCATCCACCATGCCAAGGAGCAGCGGCCCCCTGCCCAGCACTCTTCTGTGCCCCCTTCCACAGGCCGAGTCAGCAAAGCAAGCTGTCAGGGGCGGCTGGGTGGAGAGGTGGCAGGGCTCTGACCCGCCAGACAGGTTCATACCCCTCCTCTTGCAGTGGTGAGTAGGGAAGGTGCAGGTGTCCACCACGGAGCACAGTGCCCCCAACAGCAGGGGCAGAGTCTGGCTGGAGGAGATGGGAGAGTGAAACAATTCTCCAAGAGAAGTGGGGGCTCCAGGCCAGCACAGGATAGAGGGGGCAGAAGACAAACCTGTGCCAAGGGTGCCAGGGGTGGGCTGGGGCTGGACACAGGGAACAGCCCCACCCATCCCTTCCACACGAGGCTCGCAGACACAGCTCTGCTAGAGGAGGCCGTGGAGGAAGGGGCAAAGTCACCAAACAAGAAGTAGGACAAAATACATACGATCCGCACGCTCATTTTGGGATTACCTATTCTTAAATTCCAGAAGATACAAAGACGCAAACTATAGCCATTGATACTACTAGCATTTAAATCGTGTTAGATACTGTGCTAAACTCTTTCCCCTGGTCTTAGTCACTCCATTTCCTCAGGCCTTCAGCTCTCAGGCCTAGAGAGATTGAGGAAGGGGTTCTGCCCTGGCCTCGCACGCCGCCCCCCCCACACACACACACAGGCCAGGACGCCCTCCTCTTGCGGGAGCCCGCACAATCCAGAGGCAGGGAACAACCAACAGGTGTGGGCGTTTGGAAGGAAAGAAAGAGGAAGTCGGGCTCTTTAAATTTGCATAGGAAAGGAGCTTGCCTACTGTGAGTCGGGGTGGCTGGGTGTGGGGGAGAAGCTGCTCTTGGCTTCTCGGCCCAGCAGGGAGGAGGAGGCAAGTAGCAGGAAATGGCGAAAGCCTCAGGAATGTTTCCAGAAGGGAAGGCTGGGCGAGCGGGACCAGAAGGAATGCCCAGACAAGAACTCTGGTTAGGGGGCGGAGAAGAGCCAAAGAAACGGTGGAGGCTGGGGAGTCCCTTCCAAAAAAAAAAAAGAAAAAAAATCAAACAGCAAAAAGGTCACTGCCCCCTCCACCCACGCCAAGCCACCGTTTTCTGGCAGCAGAGAACTTTCGCCCCTGTCGCACCCGCAGGTCACACGCCAACAAACCCATGGCCCTACCAGGTCCCGAGGTGCAGGTGTGAGACCTACAGCTGTCTCTGGGGCGGAGTCGGTCCTGGGCAGGGAAACTCCGGGGCTGGGAACCCGGGAGCAAGCCCCTCTCCCCTTCTCGCGCCAAACCCCAAGTCCAGCCCCCTTCCAGCGGGTCCACCCTTGGCAGGGGGCAGGGGGACGTAGAGTGCTGCCTCGGACCTCGCACTGCTCAGAACCGGGCGGGGCACTTTGACTTCCCACCTGCCGGGGCAGGAGCGCTCGGGAGAGCTGGGCCCGAGGCCCAAGCGAGAAAAGGGAACTCTGTCTGCAAAGGGGTTTGAGGACCCAAGACAGCGCTTCTGAGAAGGGGACCCAGGTCCCACTCGGAGCGTTCCCGAGGGGGCGTGGCCCCTAGGTCGCGTGCACGGGGGCCTTCCAGGAGGCGAGGCCCCCCGCACGGCCCGACGTGGTCAGGGAAGGGGCGGGGCCCCGGGGAGGCGTGGCCTCCCGCGCCCGGCCTGTCCGCCGAGGGGCGGGGCCCTGGCCCGCTGGGAGATAGGCTTTTTGATGGACCCGTCGCCAGGAGGCGGGGTCTCGGGGAATTGGAAGAACTACCGTCAGGTTTCTTGCAGTAGGGCTTGGAAGCATGTCCGGGGGTGGGACTTCCAGGAAAGCTGGGCGGCAGGGTGGGGTCGTGGACAACAGAAAACAAATCGGGGTTCGGGGAGCCCCCTGAAGATGGGGGGTGGGACTTCCGGGGAGGGGGTCTCAGGGGGGCGGGACTTACAAATGAAGACCGGAAGTAGGGTCCCGGGAGAGGGGTTCCGGGGTGGAGGAGTGGGTCACCTAAGGAGAGGGAGAAGACCCAACTCACCAGGGCTTCATGGAGTCTCCGCACCGCACCGCACCGCGGCTCGATTTTGTTCCGGATCACGACACTGCCTCCTTAGCTGGCCGTTCCAACTTTCTCCCCGGCCTGGCCTCCTTGAAGAAACTTTATTGCACCCACTTCCGGCCTCACTAACCCCTGACCCTCTACCTCAGCGTCCCTCCTTCAGCCGGCCCACTTTCCCGAATCCGCCAATGGCGGCGCGAGAACGCGCACGGGGGCAGGGATAGCCAATTAGAGGCGTATTTTTTTACGTACGCTAGTCCTTGACGAACGTAAGAAGTATACTCCAATAAGGACTCGAGGAGAAGAAAATCTAAGCCAATCCGAGGCTTGAAGGTGGAGTTGTCCCGCCTTAAATCAAGGGGACCAATAGGGAGCGCGGGCGGCGTGTTTGAAAGCGAGGCCAAAGTGGGTGGGAGCGCGTGCTGCTGGGAGTTGTTTGGAGGTTGGCGGCGCGGGCCTGACGGTCCTCAGACTGAGCGATCATGTCGCATAAACAGATTTACTACTCGGACAAATATGACGACGAGGAGTTCGAGTACCGGTTAGTGCCGGCGCGGGGGCCATAACGAGGTCGTGAACTTTGACAAGTGAGGGCTGAATGGACAGGACCGACGCAAGCGCGAGAGACTCACAGGACGCGGACGGGGACGACCGCGGAGAGCGCAGGGCGCATGCGCGAGGGCCTGGCGGCGCGGGGGCGCGCGGACCCGGCGAACTCCGAGTCGGCGCTGAGCGGGGCGGCGGGCGGAGGGGGCGTGGCTGGAGCTGGAGGCTGAGCCCCTCCCCGCCAAGACGGGGTCCTGAAGCGCTCTTTGAGCTTCCCCCGGCACGTGGAACTTTGCCTTGTGGAGCCTGCTGGGAAGAGGTGGCCGCGGCGGCGCTGCAGGATTCCTGGAAAGGGGGCGTGGGCGTGCGGGCTTGTTGCGGGGAGGGCTTGGAGGAGACACGGCGGGGGCCTGCTGCCTGCCCCTGTGCTGTCTGACCGCGCGCCGGGGCGCCGCGGGCTCAGGGGTTGCGGCGCAGCGCGAGCACAGCCCACGGCCCCTGCCTCCCCCGACCGAGAGTCGGAGCCGAGCCTGCCGGGCTTCGGGAGGAGGCGCTGGGGCTGTGCTGGGGTCAGGGACCGGTGTGGGGCGTACCGCTCGCCGCGGGCTTGCGTCTGACGGATGCGGCGCCGCGATTCTAGGCCGGAAAATCGGGGGGAGCGCGGATTCTGCCCGAGGCGGCGTTCCAGGCAGTCGGTGTGACGCTCACACCGACTGCCTAGTGGGTGTCTTGTCTTCCACCTCGAAGAACGTAGACTGGAAACTTGCCAGGCTTGTGTTCCTTTTCCAGCCGAGTGCGGGGCTCCGGGGACTCGGTGTGTGCTGACCCGCACGGGACGGTGGGCCGGCTAGCTTGCTTTCCCACGTCCGAACTCCGCTGACTAGGCTCTGTGCTTACCGCCCTTCGCAGGGTTAGGGACCGCCCTTCGCAGGGTTAGGGACCGCCCTTCGCAGGGTTAGGGAGCTGTAAGTCGCGGCGGTGCGGTTCTGGTTGCCGTTGTTGTGAGGGTTTGTGTGTCTGATCTGATTGGGTATCGAAGGCCGTCCCTGTGCCGGGGGCTTGTCCATTGAATGTAAGCCATCTTCACGTATTTAGACTAGAATTATGCCTTTGCAAAGAGTCTCCGCTACTAGTACAGAGAGCGTCTAGTATATTTTCACTGAGCACGATGGAGTCTATCTGGATTAGCCCAATTCATGTCAGAGTAATAATTTTTTACCATGAAAGGAGACATCCTTGGTTAGGAGAACATGGGGTTTCCCAAAAAGTTGCTCATGGCAACTCTCTTCAAAGTTAGGAAGATGAGAGCGAGGGTAGATTTTGGAGGGTGAGACATTTCCATTTCATCCTTTGTGACGGCTCTCCCACACAGCGCTCCATAAGAGGCCTTTCTTCGCAAAACCAATCCTTTCCGAAATTACTTTTAATTATTAACACTGTGTGTGCTATGGGGCTGCCCTTATAGCCTGCTAGAGTAATCAGCAGACTGAGCTCCAGGAAGGCAGGAAAACAGGTGCTCGTTCACTTGAGTTAGTCATTAGTCATTAATGTGTGCTTTTTAACATACTTTGGTGAGGATTTACATAACTGGCCTTTATTTCTAGCTGCCTCTACCCCACAATAAGATTATATAAATTCCCTACCATCAGAAACCGATTTTTTTCTTTTCTTTCCTCTCAGCTTTGTATGCAAGCTCTTCAGACTGCACCCTGTACTGATGTGAATTCTCCCCATCTTTCCATGTTTCTCTTACAGGCATGTCATGTTGCCCAAGGACATCGCCAAGCTGGTCCCTAAAACCCATCTGATGTCTGAATCGGAATGGAGAAATCTTGGTGTTCAGCAGAGTCAGGGATGGGTCCATTACATGATCCATGAACCAGGTTGGTGCGATGTCTGAAAGCAACCATGGAGGGCTCCTTCACTGAGGGAAAGACAGAGTGATGAGATCGTATAACCCAGAGAAATGGGGGGATGGTAAGGGTGCTTTATTGGTTCCTTACCAGCCATTTAGAAAAACTGGAGTGACCAAAAATAAAAGGAAAGTATCTGGGAAGTTCAGAGACAACCTGTCCCTGAAAAACCTCCTTTAATCTCTAGTTCAGTCTGAATGTACCCTTTTTTTTCTTAAGGCCACATATACCCTGGTAGAGGTTGTGGCCCCTGCATCATTCTCCATCAGAAAGCGAATTCTTGGATGTCTTCCAAATAAGCCAAGGAAAGTGTATTTCTTGATAAGACACCAGACCCCAAGCTGCCAGGCAAAACTAATAAAGGCCCCCCGGGGCTGTGCAAACATAGCAAGGGAACTGACGCTAACAGTTCTCGGCTTGGCAGACAGGCCCAGCTTGTGGGTCTGCTTCTAAGGCCATATGCTTAACTCTTAATTTAGTCATAAAGATCTGAGTGGGTGATATCTGGGAAGTGCAGAGACCAGTGCGAGCGTGTCTCTTCGATTTCACTCACTCTTTCAGAACCTCACATCTTGTTGTTCCGACGGCCACTGCCCAAGAAGCCGAAGAAATGAAGCTGGCCGCCACTTCCAGCCTCGAGCTTTACACAGCTGTCCTTGCTTGCTAACATCTTCCTGATAACATCATTATGTTGCCTTCTTATTTCTCACTTTGATATTTAAAGGATGTTCAGTACACTGTTTGAATGTGCTGCTCGAGCAGAGCCAACAGCACCATGGCCCAGCCAGATGAGCGCTCTTCGGGCTGCAGCCTCAGCTGAGTGTCACCCCAGAAACCATGCTGATCTCTGTACCCAGCAGAACACTCTTGGTAGATGGAGGAAGCATCTGAGAATAAGGCCATGGCTGTTACAGGGATTGTGTAAACTTGCTGTTTTGTTTCCTGCCAGGTGTTGTATGTATGGTGGTTTGTTTCAATGTATTGGAAACTTTTCATTTTATTCAAGAAATCTGTTCCATGTTAAAAAGCCTTGATTAAAGAGGAAGTTTTTATAATCTAATTCTTTAATTGTAAAGGTTTTTTTCCCCTCTCAGGGTGAGCATTACACTCAGTATCATGTTTCTGATTATATTCCCTTTGGTTAGATAATGAAGTTCAGCTCTTTGCTGATAATGAGGTTTATTTCAACATTCAGGTAACTGGTTTTTAATCTACTTAAAGCAGATTTCTGTCAAACTTCTGAAATATATGTTGCTCTTGTTAGCCTGAGGTAGAGGTTATGTAGAGACGACATCTCATCAAAACAAATTAACCATTTCCTACAGTCAGGGGTGCTGCCTTTCACGCAGTCCCGGTATTTGAAGGGCACAGGAGGGTAAAGGGGGGAGGCCGTCGGCCAGAGGCTGCTCCTGCGCCCCACTTCCTGCCCAGCCTGAGGCTCTGGCGCACCTGTGGCCTGTTACCTTAGGGGGGACGCGACAATGTGTGCTGTTTTTAGTGGCTGGTACTGATGCCTAAGTCATTCCTTAGCGATATTGCCTTAATTGGTCTGGGGTGTGGCCTGGATGTGGGAATTTCAAGCATTTTTATGCGGGTAGTTGGAGTATTAACCTTCGAGAAAACAGGTGTAAGCTGTAGTTGTTCAAGAAAACATCTCTCCAGGGTGTCCCTGGCTGGCTCAATTGGTGGAGCGGGCAGACTCTTGATCTCCGGGTTGCAGAGTTCCAGCCCCATGTTGGGTGGAGATAATAACAGTAGTGCTAAATAAAGGAAATGAAGCTTCTCCCTGTCTTCCATCCATTTCTTCTTATGGTGGTAGTTCAGTGGTAGTGCCTGATCCAGCAGCATCGCCATCACTGGGACCTTGTTAGAAATGCAAATTATTGGACTCGACTCTAGACCTACTGAATCAGGAACTCTGAGGGTTGGGCCTAGCAATTGTTTTAACAAGCTCTCCAGGTGATTCTGGTGACCACTCAAGCTTGAGAACCCACTGATAAAGAATTGGACCAGAGCGTTTTTGTGGGAGGGGTGGTCAAATATTAAATCTTTAAGAAAAATAATAGCACCTGGGTGGCTCAGTCAGTTAAGCGTCTGCCTTCTCAGGTCATGATCCCAGGGTCCTGGGATCGAGCCCCAAGTGGGGCTCCCTGCTCAGCGGGAAGTCTGCTTCTCCCTCTGCCTGCCCCTTCCCCTGTTCATGCTCTCTCTCTGTCAAATAAATAAAAGCTTTAAAATAAAGATTTAAAAAAATGTTTTAGAAGGGGTGCCTGGGTGGGTCAGTTGGGCGTCTGCCTCGGCTCCAGTGGTCATCCCAGGTCCTGGGATCAAGCCCTACATCAGGCTCCCTTCTTAGCGGGGAGCCTGCTTCTCCCTCTGCCTGCCACTCGCCCTTCTTATGCTCTCTCTCTCTCTCTCTCATAAAATCTTTAAAAAAAATTTTTTTTTAGGGGCGCCCGGCTGGCTCAGTCCATAGAGCATGCAACTCTTGATCTTGGGATTGTTGAAAAAAACCACACACACAGGGCTTATTACTTGAGAAAGAACAGTCTAGAAGCCTGGCTCTTCCTTTCACTTGAGCGTTTTGTGGTTGCTGTGTGGCATCTCAACTTTTCTTAGCCTGTTGCCCATCTGTGAAATGGGCATCATCTATCTTGGGCTTTAGGAGAGTAAAATGAGGGTGGGTGTGGTTCAGCTGTTCTCCAAGTGATGAATGAATTTTTAGAGGTTTACTACAGAAAACATAGTCTAGAGACCAGGAGCATCAGCATGACAAGAGAGCTTGTTAAATGCAGATCTCAGGCTCCCACCCCAAACCTCCTGAATGAGGGAGATTTAATCAGCCTATTAGGAAGGCCCCAAATGGGGGCACCTGGCTTGCTCAGTCGGTACAGCATGGGACTCTGGGTGGTCAGTTCAAGCAGCACCTTGGGCATAGAGATTACTTAAAAATAAATTTTGAAAAAGGTCCCAGATTAAACATTTAAATTTAAGAAGCACTTTTAGACCGAAGGCAACTGAAATGAGAATAAGCTAGGATGATGTGAGAATCCGAGGTGGACACACGGCCCGTCCTAGTCGGCTGCCCTCACTTGTACCCGTAAGACCAATAATTGGGCAAAGGTGATGTTCAAACTGAGCACTATCCTGGAGCAAGGGGGGGCAAGGCTTTTTCTAGTCAACGGGGTTAAGTATATAGCTTTATCGTATATAACAGGTGAACGAAAGCTTACCTCCAAGATCTGCCTACTTCAGGCAATGCTGACACTTGGTGTTCCTACAACTTGCGTGCGCTACGGTATAAAATCCCTCTGGCAGCAGCCCCTGCGCCTAGAATTAGGGTTAGTGCCCGACAGCACGTGCACACAAGAATTTGAAAACAGAAGTGAGAGTCACGCCTCTCTTTACTTGCAGCCGCAGAGAGCGCACCCCAAAGCCCTTGGAGCACCGCCCACCACCGCCCCTTCCGCGCCCCAGGCCCGCGGGGCCCGCCCCCCGCCCGCGCCCCGCCCCCGCAGTTCCGGGTGGGGGTGACCACGTGCTTGTCGCCAATGACAACCCGGCGCTCCTCCCGCCCCCTGGCTAAGGCAGGCGAGCGACAGCCGACTGCACCAATGGGCCCTTGGAGATCCTTTGAGCGACAACCGAGGTGACCAACTGCTGTGAGGAGGTGCGGGTGTAGGGCGGGACTCTGCGTGCGGACGCCGCCCGGGACGTGCGGGAGCAGAGGGCACGAGCCGGGGAAGGGCCGGAGAGGCAGGTGGGGACCTGGAAGAGCTGGGCGGGCTGCAGCGTGGCGGGGGGACGGGACTCCAGGCCAGGAAGGGTGCCGGCGCCTGCAGGAGAGGCGCCTGAGCTCCGGTCCGTGCCGGAGCGGGGGGGGGGGGGGGCGGTCGTTTAAAAGGGGGCGAGACACTTAAAAGGAACAGGTGCCCCGAAGAGAGGAGGTATTTAAAGGTGCAGAGGGCCGAGCTCGGCGCACAGAAGACATATTCAAAGGGGTAGGTGCTCGGGAGAGCAGGACATTTTAAGGAGACTAGAGCCAAGCTTAGAAGACATGTGAAGAGGCCAGGGCTGGGGTTTCTTAGAGGCAGAAATAAAGGGGTCTCTTGTCAAGGGCCTGGCGAGGTCTTCCTCTAAGGAAGAACGTGCACTCCTGCTCTCCCCCATTGTCCTCTCTGGCTCCTCCAGGTTCCCTTGACCCCAGACCCCCCTGTTTTCAGGCTATGGCCCCCAGTGCCCTGTAGACCTGGCGCGACTCCCGTGCTTTCGACCCCTATTTGGGGCCCTGGGTGGCTTCTGGAGGGCCTTGCCGAGGGGCAGAGAAGGCAGGACCATGGCATCTAGGGCCTTTGAACCTCCCTCAGGGCGCAGCGTGACGGCGGGCATCATCATTGTTGGAGATGAGATCCTCAAGGTGTGTCTGGGACAGAAGAGGGGGAGGGTGCGGCATTCTCCTGCCCTTAAGAGCCTGCTGCACATTCTGTTGAGGGGAGGCAGCCAGGGTGGGAGCCCGGTTGCTGCAGTAGGGTCCTCGAGTGAGTCCAACCTATTAGAGGGAAAGTGACCCTTTGTTCTTTCAGTTACTCTGTTGAAAACTTGTAGCAAAGTTGCTACAATTTGCCAAGCCTTGTATAGGGGTAGGAGGAGCTTTACAGAAATGACAGGGAGTCCATCGGTATGGGTGCATGTGCTATACACAAAGAGTTCTAGCAGAGCAGCCTGTTGGGAAAACGACCCAAGGCATTCAGCAGAGTGAGTAAGCAAAATAGAAGGAAAGTACTAGATGGAAGAAATCCCTTCTGAACAATCAGGGAAGTCTTAGGAGAGGTCCTGGTAGGCATCAGGTTTGTAATAGCAATATTGACCCCTGTTTTTTGAGTGCTTCCTGGGGCCTGGCAGTGTGCTGATCATATCACATATACTTACTAATCCTTAGAACATTCCCACGAGGTTTGATACTTTTATTATAAATCTCAGTTAATAGATTATGAGACTGAGAAGCTTGACCAAGGTTACAGAGCTCAGGAGTGGTAGAGCTGGGATTCCAACCCGATTCTCTCTTCCTCCAGAGTAACCCTTACCCACTAAGCCCCCTGTAGAGAAGTAGAAGGAGATGGGGCTGGGAAGGAACATTGGAGACACACCAGAGACAGCCTCAAAAATTCTGCAAAGGAATTTGAACTTTATTCTGTATACGTTTGGAAACAACACATGGCTTTTGAGCCCAAGAGTGGTGCAATCACAGTAGCACATTAGAAAGTTTAGTCAGGAGGCCCAGGGCGGAGGGCTGCGACTGGAGGCTGGGATCCTGGCCAGGGCGCTGTCGCCACTGTCCAGATAAAAGGTGCCAAGGACTTGCGTGGTGGCAGTAGGAACACAGAGAAGAGAGCAGGTGGGGAGACATTTCAGTAGAGGTGACAGCAGAAGGGCCCGACTGGCTGTGGACAGTGTCTGGGGATGCCACTGAGCAAAGGGACAGCTGCCAGGAATATGGTGGAGATGCCTAGTAAGTACATGGAGCCAGGGAACTGAGCTGTCAGGGTTGGTGAGGAATTGACCACGGAATCCATAAGTGTAGATGAGGTCAAGGTCAAAGTGCAGAGGGAGGCCCCAGGTGGATCACGCTCTCCCTGACCACTCACGTGGATTTTCTCACTCCTGTGCCCAGTCCAGGCTTTTTGGTGGGGGGTGGACCAAGGCAGCGTCCCCCAAGAACATGGTGCCCCAGCATCAGGCAGATGCGGCTGTCACCCCTTCCCCTTTGCCCTTCATCCCCACGGCATTGACACCGTCCCCATCTCATCTCCCAGGGACACACTCAGGACACCAACACCTACTTTCTGTGCCGGACACTGCGCTCCCTGGGGGTCCAGGTGTGCCGAGTCTCTGTTGTCCCCGATGAGGTCGCCACCATTGCGGCTGAGGTCACTTCTTTCTCCAGCCGCTTCACCCACGTCCTCACAGCAGGGGGCATCGGCCCCACTCATGACGATGTGACCTTCGAGGCAGTAGCCCAGGCCTTTGGGGACGAGCTCAAGCCACACCCTGAGCTGGAAGCCGCCGTCAAAGCCCTAGGAGGGAAGGGCTGGGAGAAGCTGTCTCTCGTGCCCTCCTCCGCCCGCCTCCATTACGGCACTGATCCTCGCACCGGCCAGCCCTTCAAATTGCCGCTGGTCTCCGTCCGAAATGTCTACCTCTTCCCAGGCATTCCAGAGCTGCTGCGGCGGGTGCTGGAGGGGCTGAAGGGGCTGTTCCAAAACACAGCTGTGCAGTTTCACCTGCGGGAGCTCTATGTGGCGGCCGATGAGGCCTCTATTGCCCCCATCCTTGCCGAGGCTCAGGCCCACTTTGGGCGCAGGCTCGGCCTGGGTTCCTATCCTGACTGGGGCAGCAACTACTATCAGGTGAAGCTGACGCTGGACTCAGAGGACGAAGGGCCCCTGGAGGAAGGCCTGGCCTACCTGACCGCCCGTCTGCCCCCGGGGTCGTTGGTCCCCTACATGCCCGACGCCGTGCAGCAGGCCAGTGAGGCCGTGTACAAACTCGCGGGATCAGGTAGGGGCCTCCACGGGGAGGGTTGCATGCCGGGGTGGCTCCCTAGGCCTCAGGAACGCAGGGGCTGTTGGCGGCTTCCTGAAAATCCAGGAGCAGGTAGAAGATGGCTGCAGTAAACGTAGGCCGCGTGCGTGCTGTCCACAGCACTGTGCTGGCCAGGGGGGTGTGGCTCGACAGGACAGTCAAACACCGTGCCCTTCTGGGCCAGTAGCGTGACCAGAAAGGCCCCCGGGCATGAGATGTCGGTGGCGAGGGGCCTCCACAGCAGGGAGGTCAGCCTGGGAGCTGGGCAAGAGCAAACAGTGTGATCCGGGTAACAGAAGGAAACCAGGGCCCCCAGAGAGAAGACACTGAGGTGGGGCTGAATGGCCGGCAGGGGCACACTCTGAGGGCATGAGGGAGTCTGGACAGTACCTGGCCCACACTGGGAAGCCATGGAGATGTTAAGGGCGGCATGGCCCCCACTGCCCTCTGACGGCCACGTGCCTCTATCTGTTGGCTTCTTGTCCGTCCGCTTGCAGGGTCTTCTCTGGGGGAGAAGGTGGCAGGCGCCCTGCAGACCATTGAGACTGCCCTGGCCCGATACGACCTCGCCCGCCTCTGCGTGGGCTTCAATGGAGGCAAGGACTGCACGGCACTCCTGCACCTCTTCCACGCGGCCGTGCAGAGGTGAGCCAACCCCTGGGGGCGAGACCTCAGAGGTCCTGTCTGCCCTGCTGTCCAGCTCCCCCCGCTAGGAAGCAGGGAGGGAAGGGGCGGCCGGGTGGGGTCTGGGAGGGAGGTGGCCTTGGTGACCTCCAGTTCTGTTCTTGAGCATCTGACTTGGGTGTGGCCCTGGGTCGTGAAGGCCATGAAGGCCAACCTCCCTGACTGGGCCACAGGGAGGTCGCAGTCCTGTTGGGAGGTGACATTTGCATACCTGAAATGGGGCTGTGTGCTCCCGGTCTGAGAAGTGAGAGATCAGAAGGGCTTCCCAGAGGAAGTGGGTTCTTGTGGATGGGAGCTGGTCCACCCGGGAGCCGAAGAGGACAGTGCGAGCTCTCTGAGAGTATCTCCCTGCCCACCTGGCACGCCCGTGCCCCCCCCCAGGACGCGCCCTGACGCTCAGGAGCCCCTCCAGGTCCTGTATGTCCGCAGCATCTCCCCCTTCCCCGAGCTGGAGCAGTTTCTACAGGACACCATCAAGAGGTACTAGGGGCATGGAGGCTGGGGCTCCCGGGGGAGCTCAGCAGTGCCCACTTCTGAGTGCAGCACTCTCCCTTCCTCAGGTACAATCTGCAGGTCCTGGAGGCTGAGGGTGACATGAAGCAGGCCCTGAGTGAGCTGCAGACGCGGCACCCCCAGTTGGAGGCTGTCCTGATGGGCACCCGCCGCACAGACCCCTACTCCTGCAGCCTCTGCCCCTTCAGCCCCACTGACCCCAGCTGGCCTTCCTTCATGCGCATCAACCCGCTGCTGGTAACGGGGTAGAGGCTGTGGGGCCTCCCGTCTCCCAGTCCCTGCCCATTGTGCACCCGGTTCCCCATCCCAGCCTGGGGCTCAGATGAAGAGCCCCATCATCCGAGGAAGGCTGTGCCGTTGGGTCATTCAGCCTTCTGAGCGTTATTTATCGAACACCAAGGGCAAGCTTGTGCTTTCTCCCGCTAGGCCTGTGCTGCCCAGTATGGTGGCCAGTAGCCACCTAATTATACTCAAAGCGCAGCTTACTAAAATGAAATAAGGAATTACTGAAAACCAGCAAATGGTAGGCTTTAAAAGGATGAATTCTGTGGCATGTGAAAATTCAACATTCAGTTCTTGACTTGCACCAGGCACGTCCCAGGTGTCCCCATGTCAGGCGCCCCGAGAGCCCATTTTCATGGTCTGCTCCCGCAGACCCACGCCATGGGGGGTTGGGGGCGGGGGGCCAGGATGAAGGCTTTCTCCTTCACCTTGCGTGGCCTGCAGAGAGCAAGCTGCACCAGAGAATCAGATAGGAGCCTTCCTCAGGGGCCAAGAAGCAGAAGAGCCCAAGTGGGCCCCTTCCCAGGTGGCAAGGGGTGAGTGAGGAAGAGGGGGACTTTGTGACTCCGCTCTGACCTCCCAGGACTGGACCTACAGAGACATCTGGGACTTCCTGCGCCAGCTGTTTGTCCCATACTGTGTTCTGTACGACCGAGGGTAAGGGTGCTGGGAGACGTTGTGGGGGAGACATGGAGGTGCGGGGGACGGAGAGCCACCCCCCACACTTGCCTCCCTTCTCCCGGCTCCAGCTACACCTCGCTGGGGGGCCGGGAGAACACGGTGCGGAACCCCGCCCTGAAGTACCTGAGCCCAGGAGGACAGCCCGCCTACCATCCAGCCTACCTGCTGGAGAACGAAGACGAGGAGCGCAACTCCCGCACATGAGCCCGCAGTCCTGCCCACTGCAGGGGTGGGGAAGGAGGTGGTCCTGGGGTGCCGCCTGTCAATAAAGTGTGCCTCTCGTGTGCCTCTGCCCTGGCTGTGTCTTCCTGCTCCAGGGGATGGGAGAAGCAGACGTGGGCTCGGGGCTGGCGGAGCTCCCTCTAAGGGGCCAGGGTGGCGGGTGTGCCGAACAGACTGGACAGGAGCTCACACCGACGGTTCTGAAGGCCAGCCTCACGGGGCAGGGGCCGGGGCTTGGGCCAAGCACCAGGGGAAGGAGCAAGACAGACCGGGCCCCCGGGGTCTTGAGACCCAGGCAGGAAGCTGAGCAGGCCTGGCTGCAGAGCATAGAGGACGGAGTGACCAGGCCCTCCCCCTCCTAACCCCAGCCTCCATCCCTGTCCATAGAGGCTGACTCAGCCCGTTCTTGGGCCCAGAACCTTCCCCGTGCTAGCCCTGGGGGGCCTTTGTCCCCAGAGTCATGAGGTCTGAGGGGGTGGGGACGCTGCTGATACAAGGCACTGGAGGCGGCTCCTGCAGCCCACATGCAGCCCCGGACGTGGATGCAGCCCCTAGCCCAGGCCCTGCCGTTCTCCTTCCGAAGGGCCCTGCGAGACCCTGGGCCCTGGGTGCCTGTCACGAAGATGGGCACAGGATGGGAGGGCCTGCAGCAGACTCTGAAGGAAGTGGCCTACATCCTCCTGTGCTGCTGGTGCATCAAGGAGCTGCTGGATTAATGGCCGGGAAGGGCACCGCGCCCGGCTCGGCTCAGGTGGGTGGGGGGGGTCGGGCAACAGGGAGCGTGGCTGCACCTCTGTGCCAGAGCCCGCCTCTCAACCTCCCATTCTCTGCTCTAGCGCCCAGCCCAGCCCCCATCAAGACCCCTGGGGCCCGTGATGCTCCGCCAAGGATGGGCCACAGACACTGTGGGAAGTGCGGCTCCTGCTTCCGGTATGTGCCGTCTGCCAGGCCTGCCTCTCTGGGTGTCCGTTCCCAGCCCCCACCTCTGGGGGACCCCCGGGGCCCAGGAGCCCGGCCTGCTGGCCAGGGCCCCAGGAAACTGCAGGAGCTAACATTCTTCCAAGCCTGGCACAGTGAGCCCGCCAGCCCAGATGGTCGATTTCTCCATACTCTGGTAGTGCCAGGAATGGGCTGCGCCCTAACATCTCTGCTTGAGAATCACTGAACTACGTGTGTGTGTGTGTACAGATTATGTATATGCATATATAAAATAAATAGGCCTCAAGGCCTAAAGTTCTAAATGTCTGAAAGGGAATTGGAAAAACTCAGTACTGGAAGGGTCTTGGAGCCAGGGTACAGACCAGGGAGGGAAGAAGGTTGTCCTGGACAGAACAGACTGAAAACCAGGTTTTCTGATTCACTGAGGCCTGGGCAGGGAGGGTGGAGGGTGGAAAGGCCAGGTTCCTCCCAACTGGTGGATAGGGAGGGGTCCAGCTTGGGTGGGGTCTTCTTCTGGGAGGCTCTGTGCCTTAGGCCGGGAACCCAAATAGAAGAGCTGGTCTGGCCAGCTCCCCACCTCTGAGGGTCTTGGGAAGAGCACTGGGCCGATGCTGGTCCGCAGCTCAAAGAAGACGTTGGGCCCTGCCCCTCCAGCTCACACAGGAGGCTGCAAGAGCAAAGGCACCTGTGTGGCCACCCAGGTGCCTCAGGCTTACCACAGGGCACAGGCGCTAACAGCCAGAAGGAGCCACGCTCACTCCACTTCCCCTTGGTGGCCACCCACCTGCTTTCCCTGACGTCCACCCCTCCACCCAGGGGTAGGTAAATCCACCATTTACAGCACCTTGCTCACGCTGAGTGGCACGCCCACTCACAGCCCCCCACAACCTCAGAGCCAGCGTGCCCCGGCCCCTCCCTCCTCTCCTGGGACTCTCTCCTCGCTCCCAGGGACCAGCTTTCCCCCCAACTTCTTCTGAGTTAAGTCCTTTTTCTCTGGGCATGTTGTATCTCTCTTTATAAAGGTAACAAAGACCTAGAGCAGGGAGTTGTGCTGGTGAGAAGTGACTCCCCCCGCCCCATCCGCCCCCAGTTGTCTTGCCGGCAGTTCGTCAGCTTCACCAGTCCCTTGAAGAGCATTCCAGAGATAGTCTGTGCACATTCTGCGTCTACGAGTGTTCATTCATTCAGCAAATGTCATTGAGCACCCGCTGTACGCGGGCCCGGGTGCTTGAACACAGCCGGGATCACAAAAGGCCCCTGTCTCGTGGGCAGACACAGGAAAAAGAACATAAGCAAAAAAATACGTGTGGAGATGTTATTAGGTGACAGGTGCTATATGGAAAAGAGGAGAGGTGGAGGTGAGTGGGTGTGGGGCAGGTCCTGGAGGGCCTCACAAGCTGAGCTTCCTGCGGCTGAAATGAGAAGGCTAACACCCGGTGTTCCCACTGGCTGCTGTGTGGAGAACACACTTTGGGGAGCAAGGCTGGAACAGAGGAGCCCGACCTGGAGGCCGGAGGCACAGTCTGGGCCCGACACTGGCTCAGAGTAGTGCAGAGAAGTGGCTACCCCCAGGGCGCCTGGGAGGCTCAACTGACTGCCCTCAGCTCGGGTCTTCTCCCTCTCCCGCTCCCCCTGCTTGTGTTCCCTCTCTCGCTGTGTCTCTCTTTGTCAAATAGATAAATAAAATCTTTAAAAAAAAAAAAAAATGTGGCTGCCCTGAAAGCATGTGCATTCTTTTTCTTTTTTTTTAAGATTTTCTTAATTTTTTTTTAAGATTTTATGTATTTGACACAGAGAGAGAGACACAGCGAGAGAGAGAGAGAGAGAGAGAGAGAGAAAGGGAACACAAGCAGGGGGAGTGGGAGAGGGAGAAGCAGGCTTCCCGTGGAGCAGGGAGCCCGATGTGGGGCTCGATCCCAGGGCCCTGGGACCATGACCTGAGCCGAAGGCAGACGCTTAACAACCGATCCACACAGGTGCTCCCTTAATTTTTTTTTTAAGATTTCATTTACTTATTTGTCAGAGAGAGAGCACAAGCAGGGGGAGCGGCAGACTCCCCGCGGAGCAGGGAGCCCGATGCAGGGCTCCATCCCAGGACCCTGGGATCATGACCTAAGCCCAAGGGAGACGCTTAACCGACTGAGCCCCCAGGTGCCCCGAGATTATCTTTTCTATTTTTTTTTAAGATTTATTTATTTATTTGAGAGAAAGTGTGAGTATGAGCGGGGCGGGGGGGGGTGCAGAGGGAGAGAATCCCAAGCAGACTCCCAGCTGAGTGTGGAGCCAGACCAGGCTTAATCTCACACCCCTGAGATCACCACCTGAGCCAAAACCAAGAGTCTGACACTTAACCGACTGCACCACCCGGGCACACCTCGAGATTATTTTTCATCCCAGCGGCGTGGCAACCATCTTTAGGCGCCCACATAATCGGGTCATTGCTCTTGCCTGGCCCCTTCAGAGCCCCACCTCATCCCAGGGCACAGTGGTGGGAAGGGGGAAGCTCCTGAATCCATCCAGAGAGAGGTTAGCAGTGGATGGGGACATGGAAGTCACCCTTCCACATGAGTGTGGGGCTTCCGCCCCCCCCCAAAACCTGCACCTGCTTGGTCAGCCCCACCCTGCCTCAAGCTCTGGCCTTCGACCTCCTTTTCCTTTCTTGGGCCCCACTCCCACCCAGCTGGGATGGTGCCTGGAGGTGGATCCTGGAGTTGAGGGCCTTTGCCGGGGGAGGGGGTGTCTGGCAAAGACCCCCAGGGAAGTGGTGGATGGAAGGCAGGCAGGGCCCGGGAAGCGGAAAGAGGGAACAGAGGAGCGACCTGCGGTGGCCAGAGGATGGTGTCAGGTGTCCAGAGAGCCCCAAAGGTGGAGAGGCTGAGGAGAGATGTGGGGAGAACAAGGAAAAGCTTGCGCACCCTCTTGAGGGCCCCTCTCACGCTACAAAACGCTGGGAGACTGACAGAAGTCCACCTCAGAAGCAGGCAGGACAAGGGCAATCCTCCCACGCAAAGTGGAAGGAAACGGGCCCAGAGAGGTGAGAAGTGCCCGGTGCGCGGCCATGCCCACGGCACACTGCAGTGGGGTAGTCAGCCAGTGAACCCAGATTTTCCCATCTCCGACTCAGGGCTTCTCTGGACCAGCCAGCCCTCCTCTCCTGAAATGGTGCCTGGGAGGGGGGGCCGGGCCGAGGAAGACCTTATTTACCCCTGGGCGCCCAGCGGCCCTCCAGTGGCCACAGGGGGTAGGGGAATGGGCGGGGCAAAACGGGGCAGGAGCCTCTGCGAAGCTGGAAGGGACCCCCAAAGGCGACAGCACTGGGAGGAGCGGCCTGAGACCCAGGATTCCTAGCTGATTACCTGGGCTATAAGACCCTCAGTGGTGTGCGAAAGGCGGGTGGAGGACAGGGGTCCTGGCGAAGTGGTCTGGGAGCCTCGCGCACGAAACTGGATATTTTAGTAATGCTCTCAGCTGGGTCCTGTGTTTTCCCAGCAACGCTCAGAAGCGGGCGGGAAGAGGGCTGTGGTTGTGGTTCCGACCGCGCCGGAGGGCAGACCCCCAGGGCCACAAGCTCTGCCCTGCGTTCCTATTTGCATCTCGTTTGCATAGTAGTTATTTACCCTTCGAAAGGCAGAAGTCCCCAACCCCTTTCTGGGTTACTCCCAGCTGAGACTTTCTACTCCTGTCTCTGCCAGCCTCGGAGACGGGCCCGTTCTTCCGGCCACTCTCGGGCCCCTCTGGCCGCCGCCCCCCAGTACCTCGCGTCCTTCACCTGCCCGGGCTTCGCAGCAGCCCCCCGAACCCCGGGCACGGTCCGAGGAGCCGAGACACCTGCGCCGCCTGCTGGCTGGCGGGAGGGAGGGAGGCTGAGGGCACAGGGGTTCTGTTTCGCCTTCTCGGGAACGTGGAGTTTTGGAAAATGTTCCCCGAGCTTCCTGAGGCTAAATTTATCTTCCCCGGCCCTGGGGGGCACAGAGATCCCGGAGACGATTAGCGCTGAGGCGCAGCGGGCTCCCGCCCAGAGGCCCGGAATAGGCGCCGAGTTATAAATAGTGCGCCCACAGGTGTGGGGGGAGCCGGCGGGAGGGGCAACCCTGGCAGCCACGGCCCCTTCAGGTGGGTTGGGCGGTCGCGGTGGGGGAGCCGGGGGGCGGCGGGCGGGGGTGGGGGCTGCGGTCTGAGCGCCCCCAGCGGTTTCCTGGGCGGCGGGTTTTTCGAGGGAAGCGGAGGCAGCCCGGGTAAGGGGGGAGCGGGGAAGAGGTGGGCGCCCAGACGCTCCGCTTCCAGCTCAGCAACCTCCCCAACCTTCCAAAACAGGCCCCCCAGACCCACTCACTCAGGACCCCGCCCAGAGAGAGCCTTGCCTTTCTTCCGCCAGAAGCCCTCTCTCTCCACGCTCTGCAAGCATCTAAGTCTTCTGCAGCGGCCCCTGAGCGCACGTGGCCCAGCCAGTCCCGGCACGGGGCTGTCACTCCGAGTCGCCATCCCCAGCCCCAGGTACACGGTCCTCCCTAGGAGGATTAACTCCCAGCCCGGGCTTTCATCCTTCTCCTTGGTCAAACACCCCTCACTCTCCGGGGATTTACCCACCTCCTGCTACTTTCCCCTCAAAAGTAAGGTCTAGCCGGTCGCCTGAGATATATGTCGGAACGGGCGGATCTGGGATGCCCCGCTCTCCCCAGGAGGCCCCTGCAGGCCCCCCACCTGCCCTCCAGACCCCAGTGCCAGGCCGGGCCTGGTGGCAGCGGGCCCCTGGGGCCCAGCCGGGCTTCCGTGGGAG